AAAGGTGGTGCTTAGTGGACATCTCAGTGGTACCATACTTCAGTAGTGACTCAGATCATCGCCTCCTTCGAGCAAAAGTGCGATTCAGCCGAAAGCTGGAAAAAAAGATCTGCCACCATGTTGGAGGAAGGAGAGAAGTCGTATATGACGGCGTCAGATTTGAGGAGCTCTTGACCACTCGTGACTGGCCCATCGAGGAGGACCCGACGAAAGACTACGATCTGCTTCTTAGAGGACTGAGAGCCTGTGGTGAAAGCGCTTTAATGCCTCGCACAAGAAACTTAGAACGAATTTCGAAAGCCACCAAAGATCTGCTAGAGAGGAGAGGAGCACTGGCTGGAACCGACTGCAACCATCTCGAGCGATTGGTAGCCAATAACAGTGCAGATAGCTTTGCAAGAAGATCTTCGAAAGTACAGGCAATCAAAACTCTTGGAAGCAGCGCAAGGAAGAAGAAGTTTAAAGAAGTATTGCAGTTTCTCAACTATCGTGTTCCGCTGACAACATTACTAAACGAAGACGAAACTCGCACATCTTCCCGACAAAAGATGGAATCGATTACGAAGAAATTTTACACCAATCTCTTTCGCTCGTCAACACCCGTGTCAAATCTCGTTATTCCCACTGGAGAAATACCACCAAGGATTCTACCTGCTGAAGTATGCGCCGCAATTCAGACCATGAAGGCAGCCATGGCTCCGGGACCGGACCATGTTTCGGTCGACCTCTTCTGGAGGACATCGCCTACACAAGATATTTGCGGAACATCTAACGTCTTACCTTCAAAAGGAAAGGATCCCCGCCCAGTGGAGAACCTCCCGGACAATCCTCCTTCACAAAAAGGGCGATAGGGAGGATCTTCAGATCTACCGTTATGCCTGCTGAGCGTGCTTTACAAGCTCTACACGAAGATTATTCTCGCCCGCATATCAAGCACACTGGATGAAGCTCAACCTGTAGAACAAGCTGGATTTCGCCAGGAATTCAGCTGCGTGGATCACATCCAGACAGCTTCGAGGATAATCGAGGTTTGCCGAGAGTACCGCCTACCT